CAAGTGGCATCAAAATTTGTCTTTGGATGGGACTTTGGTATACTACCATTTTCAAGTGATGATAGAATATGGAGTGCTCCAGAAATAACATTTGGGTTACTTCTCAATGTAACATTTGATTTTCTTGTTACCATGCAATAGCGCTTTCACAGTTTTCAGTGCATACTGACGAGATTAAGAATCAAAATGCACTGTGGTGTAATCTTTGGCCAGAGTCACATTGTACATTTACAAATACAGGAAAGAATTAAAAGTTATTAAGGCAATGCAAACAAATCTTGATTTTTTTTTTCCAATGAAAATAATCAAAACACAAATAACAGAACCAATAGTACCATATTTATTTTTGCTTTACATATATTTTTTTTTTATTTGTTGTATAAAGAAATTTTTTATTGCATGTAAATTTCCTTTACAATTATTACTTCTATACAATTAAGTCTACCAATTTTAGATGTATATTTCCTGTGATAATTAAAAAAAACTTATCTACATTACTCTGATAATGAAGCTCTTGATAACAAAATTTTTTTTTATTTCATTGATCAAAGTACTGGTGTATATTGTCATCTGCTGATTTGCATTCTATTACTTATCGACATTTCTCTTATTGTTTCAGATGACAAAAAGAATTAAATACCAATGTGAAAGATTATCCAAGCTGAAATAAATAGACTTCAACTTCCTGAATAGTTAATTCATTATCATTTCTAAATAGAAAAAAAAAAAAAAGAAGAAAGATCAATAATGTCAACAATGTACTGTTGCTAAAAATAATACTAGTAAAGCATACTGATTTAATCAATACTCCAAGTCAAGTTTTACTACACAAGTCAATGTTTTCATAGTTGGTATTAAACCAATCAATATTGGTAAAATTTTAGGGATATAGATATATGATAACTAATACCATGTGATATTCAGAGTACAATATTTGTTTTTATTAGAAATATTTCAAATAACTTGTTTGATTGCTTGCTTCCTTCCATTCCTTTATAGATATCTTAATATAAAATATATAAAAGATGATCATAATTTGCAAGAGACAACCTCAGATGAACAAGATATTATAAAGTTTATCACAATGTTGAAAATTGTGAAAAAGTTGAATAGTGACTGATAAATGTTATAGAATATCACAGAGACCATATTAAATTTATTTAAGGTCTATGAGACAATATGTTAATAGAACATATTTCTATAGCCTATAACCTTTTAAATTGACTTATAAATAAAAGAAAATATGCTACTTTACTTACACAATAAAACTTGACATATCCAAAACAAGTTTTCAATACTTTTAATGAGGATAGCTATTATAAGCTGGATCTCACACACACACACACACACACACACACACACACACATACATATATATATATATATATATATATATATATATATATCTCAGTCATTATGCAATGTATTACATCATTAAATTTTTTTTTAAAGAAATTTATTGAAAAACAAATAGGATTGGTTTCTTGATGGAACCATCTAAGAGGCTTTGACAACTCTACTCAAGGAGCCATTGCTATTTGAAGCCTACACATGCAATTTCCACAATGACAGCAGAAGAATTGCCAGCTGGTGGAAACTTCAGATTTATTAAGCTACTTTTATTCTGTGATATACTTCAGGATCATGGAGGTTGTCTGACAGATTTTGTTACCCACTTTTATTTCCTCACTGAATCCATAGGAAGTCAGAGTCCTTTTCAAATGACCCATGTATCAATTCAGTGAAACTACTTATTTACTAGGGACCAATTCTTCCAATAAGAGTTCTAAAAGGCGACATTCTTAGGTCTTCAACATGTGGTCAGCCCACTATAGTTGAAACTTTTGCACTAGAGACTTAACACTTGTAGCTGTGGTAGTGTCTAGAAGCTTGGTGTTAGAAATGAAATTGTTCCAATGCACTAAGAATGATGATGACCGACAGTGATGGAAAGGCTAGTAGGCTCAGGTGGCATCAGTATAGAACTCATGTGACAGCAACATGACGACTTTGGAGACTATGGTTTTTGTATATTTTGTGAAGCCCAGATAAATCTGTGTATTCCACCAAAAGCCTTGACCATTCTTGTCTATTTCTTTTGCCATTGTGATGCTGTCTAGATAGGATTTCACAGATCATTTTTAAGTTTGTTTGATCACTCACACACACAAAACATCTAAATTGTACACAGCAGAATAAAAAAAAAATTAGGTACAAGATTGCATTAGCTCTTTGAACCTAATTACGTGAAAAGGATTTTACAAGTACAAATTCCTTCTCTTAGATTTGATGTAGACAAAAGCTTTCCCAGATCAATGATTAAAAATAGCTTCCAGCAAATGAACCTTAGGATGACCATTCTTCTTCAAAACTGGCAAACTGATGCTACAGAATTATAAACAAAGAACAATAGCAAATAATAGAAACCCCATCACTTGAAGACTTTCTACAACAGAAACTAAAATGGATAGACCGTGAAACTTGAAGAGAAAATAATGACACAAGATATTTATGTTCCACACTATGTGAACAAAAGTTTAAGAAGGAATCCAACATCAATACTAGAAAAAGCAGTAACAATAGACTTGAGAAAACTATTTTCCTGAAAAATTGTTTTAATATAAAGATTTTATAAATTTCAACCAGTCACTGAATGCCAAATGTTTCCATATAAGGAAATGATTAATATTACCATTACTAGCACTGCATTCTATAAAATTTTGGTGGAACGAATCTCACCAATCTAGTATTTCAAAAGTATGAACTACCAGTCTGTCTTTTTTATTGCATTTATAGAGAAAAAAAAACATGGGGAAAATGTAATAGCAGAAAAGTTATTGATTTGTTTTTTTTTATGGCTTATCAAATCTTTGCAGGTTTTGTAAAGCCAGGAAATATTTTTAGACTGGAAGAATTTTTATTTTTTGAGATAATAATGGTTTAGTGATACAAGTCTTACTAATTAACCCATAGCATGGGAAAGAAGTGGTGGATCCATACCTTTCCTAAGGGTATTTGCATGTAAGTGAATATAATGAAACCAACTGGAATTGAAACTGCTATCTGATTAACAATTCCAAGCCATTATCCATTACACAACCTGCACATCCAAACTTTCAAAAATTCATATTCCCAACCAGTCACCCATCTGGGTACTGACTAGGCTCAATATTGCTTAACTTCAGTGATTGTACAGGAACTGGTGTTTCAATATGATGTGTTTGTCAGCCCATAAAAACTGTTTACAAATGTAATGGATGCTTAACATTGAAATTGATATTTAATGAATAAATTTTATTTGTTTTGAAGGGAAAAAAATTGTGTCCAGTATTATTTACTGAACACTTGCAGCCTTTAAACAAGGTCATTCCCAATTAGCTGATTTACTTTTTATGTTCCTAATATTTTTTTTTAAATGAAGGAAATTATAATGAAAAAGATTACAAAAACATTAAAGCTGAAATAATGCCTTTTCTTTTGGTTATTTTCACACATTATTCATTTACTCTTCATACTATTCATTTGTGATGCCTTCAGTGCATCTTTGTCATCCTCTTTGACTATATTATTACTTCTCTCTGAATTAATGGCCCTAAGACACTTGTATTGCTAGTAGAATGAATAATTTTCAAATAGGTGTTTCTCAACAACCAACAAAGCAGATATATTTTGAATATGTTCATAAGCTATTCTAGAGGAACCTGTATCCTCATCACCATTTTTTATTTTATTTTGCTGCTAAAATAATCCTAACAAGTAGGAATGTTAAAAAAAATCTTTTGTTATCTTGTTACATTTGAGAGCAAGAACAAGTCTATCTTTAACTTAACCAATATTGTAAGATCACTGGCAATAACTACGTTCGAGCTATTTTAGTGTTATAAAACAGAATATTCTCCATTTGCTATCAAGGGTTTGAGAGAGTGAGTGAGTGGTCAAACAATCTCTCTCATTGACTAACTGATATCTTCCATGTTGTTCTTTACAAAAGATCTGTTGAAACTGCAAACTAGACAGGCTCAACCAAATGAAAAAGAAATAAGAAAATCAGCAAGAATAACACAAAACAGCTGTCTCTTCAGCTTATGGTTTTCAGAAAGTGTACGACTCCTTAGTTATCACTAACTTAAATGGTTTAACCAATCTCGACTAAACTATCTACTGATGTTAGCTAATTGGACCTTACTGGGAATCCCCTTAGAGTGCGACTGCCACATCCCAAAAACTGAACTGAATATATAAGACCAGAACCTCCCACTGTTTTCTTATTCCTTTCTGAACAGGCCATGCATTTGTAAGCTTTTATAAATAGGCTTTCAATCTTAGCAACCACTTCCCATTAGCTAAACCTGAAAAAAATTAAAGTGCTGTGATAAAAACAAAAAAAATGAGGATATTGGTAGTGAAAAAAAAAAAAAAATCATTGTACAATCCTAACATCATCTTGTTACAAAAGTTTGAACAGAAATAAAGCCAGAGGGTACATTTGACAGAATCAGAAAATCAAAATGTCTAAAAGATGGCAAATAGAAAAATTATAAAGATTGAAAGATCATAAAGCATTTAACCAAGATAAGCATCTTTGTACCATCAATAATTTCAATGTCAAATTGGAAACAAGAACCTATTGTTTTTCTTCCCACATCTTCCCACCGGTGCGTGTGTGTGAAGTCTATCAATGAGGCACAACACAAAATTTTCTGGCACAGGTGAGCCAGTGGCTATTTCCTAAAAACTTTTATTACCTATCTTCTATTCTACTTAATGATGTTATTACACACACACACGTATATATATATGCGCATATCCCTATATATACAGACATGCTTTATTTTAATCTAATTTCATATATTTACATGGTTGTGTGTAAAAAGATGAAAAAGTCAGATATGTTTTATACAACAGCATTCTAGATTGAGGGATGGAATCTGACAAATTATAGATGCTTGCTTGGCATATTTAAAGATCTTTCTTTTATATTTAGGCATAAGTAAAGTGGCTTATGGCCATATCACATTGAAACACTGGTTCTTGTCTGATCACCTAAGTTAAGCAACATTGAATGTGGTCAGTACCGACATGGGTGACCACTTGGGAATACCAGGTGCTGTAAGCTTGGATGTGTGAATGGTGTGATGGCTAACAGCTTAATATTCCAGTAGAGTTTGTTACATTTGCTTCTGCACGAATACACTTGGGAAAGATATGAAAACGTCTCTTCTTTACACCCCAGCTATAGGTTAATTAGCAGGACTGACTGGGTCCTATAGCCATGGTTTCCAACTAGTCTATCACAGAAAGTAATGGCAGCCTACTGCAGGAAATCTACTAAGTCAATCATGATTCGAAAAGAGACATGATCCCCCAAGTCTCTATCACATATAGCACCTAGTGGAATAAGTTTGCCTTATTTATTCTGGAAATGTGAAATGTGTTGATAGAAAAAGCAAATCAAGTTTCTTATTGTGAAATTTATCATAAAAAAAAAATGAACAAAATAAACTTGCCTTTTATTAAAGATTCATGATCAAGTTATTGTTATTTTGTGTCTATGGAGAGAAAAAGATAGTAAAATAAGAGGAGAAAGAAAAAAAAAAGCCTAATATTTTTTATGATTTCTTTATTATACACCATTAGTGCATAAAACAAAAATATGCTCTACAATACTGGGTAGTAATAACTGATCTAGTTAGGAGTTAAAGTAAGCAACAAGTTACTGCATGCATTTTGAGTGCAGAGTCAAAGATTTTTAAGATAAATAACTTGTATGAATTAACTAAACAAACAGGTCACTGAAAAGTTCTAAGGTCAACTATGAAAGTAATGACCATGAAACAAACATCGTTATTTCAATATTGCAGTTCAAGACACTTGATAGATTATTTCTTCAACTTAAAATTCCTATGCTTCACCTTCTATTATCACCTCTAAAATTTCCTTCCATTTAAGATTTAGAAACAAGCAACATTCAGAGAAAACAAGAGCTGGTAAGTAAGGTGGATAGTCTATATACTTAAACCTTAAATTCTTCAAAATATCCATTGTCTTGCCAGTCTTGTAAGCAGGTGCATTGTCCTGCAAAAAATTGAAGACATTTCCACTGCTTCCCTTGCTGCTTTTCTTTCAGCACCTCCTTTAACTGGAATAGCAAGTTAGAAGTGTATTGTTTGACTCCTCTGAAGAGGGTGGTGTCAATCATCAAAATTCCTTATTAAAAAAAGGAAAATTGCAGCCACACCTTTTTCTGATGACTTTTGGGTATTTCATTTCTTCTTACCTGGAGAACTAGAGTGCTGTCACTGAATTAACTTTTGTTTGAGTTGTGTATCACTTTCATCAACAGTGACAGTCAATTTGGAAAACATTGCTGAAAATGTTGTAAAAATCAAACTTGGAAATCTTCCTTGATATTGTTTCTAGTTGGCATTCAAATATACTTGCACCCATTTGGTCGACAGTATCTTCCTATCCAACTGCTAATAAATTACAAATGCATTGCCCTGATATCTGTAATATGCCTAAGCAACTCTTTTGACTAAGATTTTTCAATTGGCCAAAATTAGGCTACGAACAAGAACAATAATTTCAGAAAATTACACTAAAAGCTTCCCAAATCCTGTTGCATCATGGATCACAAATTCTGCACACTAGAAATTGACAGTAAAGTATCAGGTTAACTTGTCATCCAAAGTTTGTATCAAATTTCCTTTGGATTCCTTTTGCAGTTTTTTTTGTTTTTTTCTGCAGGAACAGTAACTTGATAATGGAACAGTGTTCAACACTTTGAAAATTCCATTCTTTTCACTGAAATGATTGAGTCAATGATCTGAAACAAATTTAAAAACAACTAAGTGCAAACGTCATGCAAATTGGCTTTTTATGACATAAAAAGGATACACTTTCCAGCTCCAGTGACAAAAATACATTATGTGAAGTGGGTCAAGCTAAGAATTTTTTTAGAACCCTCTTGCAGGTATTTTGAATCCATATAAAAAATAACATTCATATCATTGCTCAGTTGATTTGAATGCAGAATTATCTGACAGATTATAACAAAGTCAATTATAACAAATCTAAATTGGCACCATTAATTTTGAATAATAATGAGTTTGAATTTTGAGATTGTATTGTTTTACCGTGGCAAAAACTAAAACAGCTTTGAATGAAATCTTACTACAGTTAAAAGGCCACCACGTACAACAGAAGGAGAAGTAATGTATGTAAATAGTGCAGAATGTAAAAGGTCAACATTTGTATAGAAATATGTAGTCTATAATTTCACAAAATTTCAAGTCTTTATGCAAAATATATATATTTTTTTCAATTAAGCCACTTTTCTATCAGAAAGATAAGAAATGTTTACAAGGTACTTTTGGTGGAGGTGTACAGTTGGAACTATAACAAGAAATAATAATTTTGTTCATATTACTATAGATTAAGTACTCTAGTTTAGAGAGAGAGGGAGGAGAAAGGAGGGGGAGAGAGAAAGGAGAGAGAAAGAAAGCATAGGAGAACCCACTAACTTGTCCAGTGGTCATTCATCTGAAGACGAAACTTATGTTACTCTCTCTTGGAGGTGTACATAGCAGAAGAGGCCTCCCACTGGTTGCATGCATTTTTTGCAATGCTAAAATAAAAAATTTATCTCCAATGCAAACAAAGATACATAAAACTGGGGAGAATGAGATAACAGGCTACACATGTCATGAACAGTAGTGTGTCTGAGAGGAAAACTGATTGTAAGGAAAGAAACAAATAAAAGTTAAGTTTTTTTTGCTACAAGTAATATAGAAAAGTAACATTTTTACTGATAATAATAGAACTCATTCCAATCAATTTAAAATACAAAGTATTTTGCTTATCAGAAATATTAAAGTTAATCTATTAGCTTGAAATTAAAACTAAAATGAAAGCTTCAAAAAGTCTTTTTTGAAGCTTTCATTTTTATATTTATTTTCTTTGGAAGTATCCCATGCCACAACTTTTACATTTATTAGTATTATTATAGAGTTAGGCTAAGTACATATTAGTAGTCTATAGAATCAAAGTAAACTTTCAATTTGGCAGGGATGAGATTTTTCTGTAACTTTTGCAGGGAGCGGGGACATGAAAAGGATTTCATAAGCTAAGTATAGTAATTTTAAATTTGTAAAAAGCTAGTGTTAATGATTACCTAAATAATTTCAGAAAGGAAAGGGTTTATATTTTACCATGAACCGAATATAAAACAAAGGTTTAAATATTATGGTCTAATACTTTTGTCTTTTTTATTTCTATTTTTTCAAACTTCAAAATAGGGACATACCTATAACCAGTCTTAACATAAGTTACATTTCAGACGGGGGACAAATGCCTCCAAAATTTAAGCGGAGTGTAAGGGAGATAAATCAGTTTATTTGGTATATAGCAATTGTTTGAAATGATAACTTCTATCTATATCTCAAATCTTTTCAATGCTTACTTTTTAAAGATACTACGCAAAAATTAGATTATTTGAATGGGAAAAAACAACAACAAAAAAAGCATAAAAACTTCGATTTATAATTAAAAATCTAAATTAGAAATTAAATTTGAGGAGTGCTGAAAAGATTTATGAAGGACATTTTGATTTGGCTGAAAATTTTTAAGCAACTCTACGTAAAGTAGGGAAAATTATGATCAAGTCTTCGGTCACTGGGAGTTCACACCATATCAAAGCCCATGGTGAGAGGAGGATAAGAAAATTGGGGGTGGGGGTGAATGAAACAATTTTGTTTTTTTAAATTTTTCAATTATTATTGCTACTTTTTGAGACGAAATGAACGCTTCATAAATAAATATAGAAATTAAAATATAAAAAAACATCTACGTAAACCTAAGAGTTAAGTAAATTTGATACTGTGAAAAAAAAGATGACATATCGATTAGGCTGTTAGTGTTGTTAATCAATTCTCTTCTTTCTTAGCTTATCTGATTTTATTTAATTGATCCCTTTAGTAGTTCAATAAACTTTTTTTAGAACGTAAGTTAGAGAAAACATGTATCAAAGGCCACGTTGACATTTAAGCCTCGATTACCGGATTTGGAATGGATTATTCGAAAAAGTAAGAAAGAAAAAAAAAAAAAAACGCCACCGAACTTTACATATCAATACTTGTATCCAATCAAAAAATACTTTTTTTTTGTTCACCCAGTACAGTGTGTCCATCATACAAAGTAGAGGGTTAATGAACAGGATATTTTTACGGATGTAAGAATTGCGAATTATGATGAGAATAGGCGTGATATCAGCTGACCCAGACTTGAAGAAGTAAGATTGCAGAAGCATCCTCCTGGGAGTCAGTCAACGGCTCTTTGGGAAACTGTCCGAAAGAAACTTCCTTCTTACCAAGGGAATGAGGATGAATTTAACCCTATAAACGTGGAATGGAGGGTTTTCTTAGCTATAAGGTCTGCTGAACTGGTGAAAAAAAACTAAGGAATGCAGCTCGTCAGAATATTTTTCCATGGAAATAGCGATAGAATAGAGAGAGGTTTGCGAAGTTGTGTCTGTGGGGAAGGAGCTATAGAAATAAAATAATTCTTTTTGTCGACGGAATAAAAAGGTATTCGATGATCCGTCTTCTAGGTAACGCGTCCCTCAATGCTGCGGCAACAGCGTTGAACCGGACAATTTCCTAGATTACGCATACAACACGTTCAAATAAAAAACAAATTCTCTGAGGTGGGAGTGTATATAATTGCCACTAGGTACTAAAATAAAGTAACCAAATTGATTATTTTTAATTTAAATTTTAGTTTATGATTTCTGGCTTTGGAGTACTGGCTCATTTTCTTTTTACTTCCCCATCCTCTCCATTTGTGATGAGAAACCAGACTGAGATCAGGTAACCGGGGATTCGTCCCACAGGTAGCATTATTTTCCCATAACGAGTTATGTCTTGATGTCTGCGGTATCAGCCGATTCCTGGCTGACTCAGCATCCATAAAATTAAAATGCGACCTTAGTTCGTAAAACCAATTGAGTGGTTATGGATTCGCCTTCCTTACAACATCATGAAAAATTCGTGTTTTAAATGTGGTACATAATGCATCGGTCAAGACAAAACATTCAAGAAGAAGTGACCTTTTAATT